GGAGAGCACATTCCTTGTAACCTGATGCCCTGCACTGCCTTTTAAATTTCCTGTGAATCCTTTATTCAGGGATCAGTCACAGGTACACATCTGGGCCCGCTAGCGTAAAATTAAAATCTGAGTTCTCCACTCCTCTGAGTGTCACTTCGTTTCTCCTCTGACTATATTGCCACAACAAACATAGCAGAGGTTTTCAAAACCCTGTTAAATGTGATCAAATCAACTACTGGCTCAATTTTTTCATGCTTCTTTACATTCACAATTTGTACCTTGTAACTTTGTCATCTATACTAGTAGTGAAGTGTACCCTACTTCTTGAATTTGTGCTCAAATTATGTCATATGACATACTTTGACTAATGGGATTTTAGTACATGGGACCTATTCAAGCAAAAGCATGTGGTAGCTTAAGATTTGCTGTCTTGTCACTTGCCATTACCATTAGAGAAAACCCACATAAACTCCTGGCCTAGGAACACAGGGAGCATAGCTGCAAGGCCGGCATGCAGACTTGAACCTTAAAGTACAGCATTTCTAATGAGAACACTAGAACAATGTCTTTCCCTCAGACAAGAAACCATTTACACCATTTACACCTCGGTTATGGTTCACTGCCTCCCTGCTCCAACCTTACAGTATTCTGAATTCCTATTTCCCCTGGCCTGATCTTAGCCACTGAATGAAGTACAGAATGAATGCAGTGCACACAATTTCTGGGAAATTCAGGACTCTTTCAGTGGTCATCTTTGCCTTGAAAATACCTCATCATCCTGATTGAAAACTGTTATAACTGGGCTGCAGTTTGTACAAGATTCTCCCTACTAACCGCCTTTCTTCTCTGTCAGCCTTACCAGGCTGAGTCCTGGACTGTGGTTTGAAGTCTCATTCTTTTTCATCGTCCTTCCTTTTTATTTTTTCACATTAATTGTTATGTCATCTGCTTTTCAAAGAACAAAAATGAATATGGAATATAGTGTAATTTGTATTAAAATCTCCTATGGATATGTGTTGCTCTTAAATGTCATTTTAGTGTAGTATGAAGGAACTAATCTCTAATTTATTGCTTTAAATTTTGTTCTATCATGCCTCCTTATAGTCTGAATGAGTAGTAGTCACTGTTTTCAAATGGAAATGGGACTTTGTTTGCAAACTCTTTCTGGAGACTGAAAGGTTTCTTATCCAATGGGTACTTAACTGACTGAGCCCTCAGCTTGCTGATTTCTGGGATTGTAGAATACTTTCCTCTCACCTTCTACTTCTGCTCTTGCCAGTTCAGATCCATGTTTTAAAAGGGTCAGTTTTGCTTTGTACAGACATAATTATTCCAGTTTATAATAGAAAACTCTGAACTCAAATCATTTTGCAAGTATCTTTACTTTGATGCTTTTCTTTCTAGAAGTCCTTAACATTATATTTTGATGAAAGAGAAATTACCTGAAGTTTTCATTGTTAAAATCCAAGAATTCATACTTTACAAAAGTTCTGTTTCTCACTTAAAATACTAGTAATTTAACATACTTGTGTATGGTTTAGAATTAAATGAGTATTTATATTATGAATATATATTTTACTTCTTGATTTCCTTATTAGACCATTTTTATATGAATAATGATACAAACTTCCAGACCATATCTTCTGTATACACATAGTTAAGTACTGTGTTAAAAATCTGGTTGTTTTATTTTAAAACATGGAAGTACAAGAGTCACTTACAGCGTATCCATCAGCATTATGGTTTCTAGAATACGGATAAAAGGCCCCAAGTTGCATCCAGCGTCTGCAGAGCTCTTCAGTGGTATCATATAAAAATCCACAGATATCTGCTCCAACCTAAATAATAAACGGATCTCTAATTTATAAGATTAAAAATTTTGAATTTGTCCTGAACATCGCATTTGATGCCTCAATACAGGTGCATTATTTACAATCACTTGTATATTTTGCAGTCTTTAAATATGTCTCCTTAAACCAGTTTCTGTTTTCCTTACTCTTTTTTTTTTCTTTTGTTTTGTTTTGTTTTTGCTTTTTTAGAGGAGTCTTTCTATGCCATACAGGCTGGTCTAGAACTCACATTCTATTCTCATGCTTCAGCCTCCCTATTTCTGGAATTGCAGATGTGTGTCACCACATTTGATCATATTCTTTTTCATTGTCATTGTGTATATTTTCATAGCCTTGTGGATTTTTACCTTTTTTTCTTTTTGAATCATTCATTCATTATATAAACATGAAATTATTATGTTAAAATATCTTGAGTTTTAATTCAAAATTTAATCTAACTTCATTTTCCCGTTTATAACAATATTATTTTAGAAGTAAAATAAGAAAACTGTGACCATGTATTCATGTTGAATTTAGTAAATAAATTATTCCAAATGAAATTGAGGTTCACTCAATGCATACCCACATAAGTTCATCTTGCATTTTCTCCAGAAAATGCTTTCTTGAATTTAGTATTTATTACTTAACATCATTTCTTTATTTCTGTACATAATTATGTAATATGTAGGCAATATATAGCATTAATCTACATGTTTGTTAACTTTGTATAAAGGAATGTTGTATGCATTCTGGTACATTTTCCTTTGCTGTAAGATTCAGTTATAGTAATGTTGTACACATTCTCTGTTGGATGACTATGAAAAATATTTCTAGGGAATGAATGCATAGGCTCTTATGAATATGTAAAACATTCTTATTATATGACATGTACTCAAAGGATTATTTTCTGATTTTTTAAAATCAGAAGTGGTTGTAACCTTTTACAAGCACAGGGGCAGTACATTAATTTTACTATTGATCATTTTCATAATAATTCTATTTGTGAAGTATCTCACCAAAGTTTTACTTTACTTTCTCTGACTACTAGGGAAGTTGAGTATATTTTAATATTTTAAATGAGTCTATATGGGGTCCTCTTTCTATAGAATTACTTGCAATCTCTTTTTTACTAATTTTACTATTGTTCTTATTTTTTATAAATGCACAGAATATGCTATAAATTCAATACTAATCAATTACTTTGATTGTCAAAAGCTTTAATTTTATTATGGTCAAATGTATATACTTTTATGATTTGTATCCTTTGGGTTCTGTTTAAGAAATTATACCTATAATATAATGCCATAAGACTATCCTTCTATGTTTTCTGTTAAAATGACAAAATTTTACTTCTCCCACATAGGTTTTTAACCTACCTGAAGTGATTTTTTTTGCATATGATGTCAGAAATTGACTCATTTTATTTTATTTTGTGATTGTATAGCAGATGTCCACATGAATACTTAATACTTTCCATGCACACTTACTCTGATAGCATTGTCATTTAACAAATTTCCATATATTCATAGACTTGTATCTTATTTTTCCAGATTACTCTACTTGAATATCCACAGATCTGTCATTGTGTTAATTACTAGAGTCTCATCTGGTAGTACAAATTCACATGCACTGAAATTAGATTACAATTTGGGGACAATGCCATTTTCTAAAATAGTGATCTACTTTATTTGTGAATATGGTAAATCATTAATTCATTTAGAAATCATTTAATAGTTTCTCAAAGATATCTATATTTTGTTTTCATATTTACTAGTTATTATCTATTGATTTGCTCCTATAATAGACATTTTCATTATATTCTATATTTTTTTGACAATACATGCTATAAATTGATGTATCATATTCAAATTTTCAAAAAAATATTTTTGATTCTCATTTTTTGAATTATTTCTTCAAACACTTTGATACATTGCCTTAATTGTTTTTCTTACTTTCATTTCTTAACATTTGTTAGTTACTGTTCTTCACTTTCCATATTTTTCATACTTTTCAAGTAAATTCAACTATGATATATTGTAAGAACTTTTGTAAATGTCACATTGTACCCCCAATACAACAATAATGAAAAAATAAAATTTAAAAAAATTCAGTCTTTCTTGAGTTTTTGTTGTTGTTGTTGTTGTTGAGACACAGTCTCTTCAAGCAGCCCAGTCTGGCCTCAAGAACTAGAAACCTCCTGATTCAGCTTCCCTAGAGAACTCCCCTTCTGGCTTTCTTTGCTTTTAATTTAAGTATTTAAGGTTTTCTGACTCCTCTAAATACTAAATTAGCTAAAATCACACAAGGTTTGATAAGAAATAAAACTATCAAAATTCAAATATTTTGTTGTGCTTTCCTCCATTTCCATTCAGTTTAGTTTTTGACATATACAAAGTGCCTGTATTTTTCAAATGTAAGATTGCACATTCAAGATTTTTGCTTAGTTTGCTGGTTTCCGTGTTCATTTTACTCAGGCATATTCAACAAAGAGTAAATGAATCACTATAAGTACCTAATGGACTTTAAATATCCACATAGAAGACAGCTCTCTTTAGTCTCAAATATCAACATTGGAGGCTTCATTTTTGTTAATGGAAGAAGAGACCTCTCAATTTTCTTGCTTAGAATTTCCTACTGTACATTTTCTCCACTTTTGAAATTTTGAGCAGTTCTCTGTCATTACCATTTATTGTAGAAAAAAGGAAATAGCTTTATTTTTCTTTTGAAACTAAGCTGGTAATAAAGCATTTTAAATATATTTAAACTTTGACATTTATTTTATTATCAGTTTACTTAGATATTTCACTGCCACCTTATCTTGTAGCTTATGTTTATTATATAAATATTTTTTACTGTCTATATTTTTTGCTGAATTAGTTTGATTTTATTGAATTTTGTTAATTCCATTTATCTAGTCTCGTGCTTTGAACATCACAGATATCATCAAAATTTTTATTTTTCTGATATATTCCATGGGCTTCTCACATAATCCTTAAGAATAAAGTTTGAGGGCTTCTTTTTGTTGTTGTTTTTGTAACATGCTTTTTAATACTGTTAACAGAAGTCATTAATATGACTTTTTAACTGTCAGAGATAGGGATGTGGCTCAGATTCCTGACACTGTCAAAACCCAAATTAAGTGTAATTGGGTGATTTTATAAACATATTGCTATGTATGCATGTTTATGATATATTCATAAATATACAGCTATATATATACATATACACATACATATACATGCATATGTGTGTATTTATATGTATATATATATATAAAATTGTCTTACCAAAGGCATTCCAAACATATTGAACTCCAGCATGCCAGTGATAGACCACTCCATTTGTTCCCATGAAGCTGCATTATCTCCTAACCAATGTGTAGCATGATATCCAGTTCCCGCAAAAGTTGATCGGGTAAGAATTAAGCTTCTCTTATCAGGAAAAACTTTTTCTACAGCTCTAAAAATAAAACCAAATTAATAAATAAGATTTAAAAAAATATAATTGATACTTACTAATTAAGAAATATTAGTTTCAATTGTGTATTTACTACTTCCCAAGACATCATAGAATATGGAATTATTAGTCAAAATTTTATTTCCACCTTTAACTACTTTTAACTACTAATATTTACTTGTTTAAATGCATTCTCATCAAGCACTGAGAAAGGAAGTCTTTTAGAAATGACTGAGATTTGAATGATTTCACTCATCTTTTACCAAATTAAAAGCATGTGACCTGCACTCAATATCTGTATTGTCAGTATATGGCATAAACTCTCAGACAGAGTGGGTCAAGTGGTAGAATGCCTGCCTAGCAACCCATAGTATAATTATTAAATATTTGTTATGTCTACATTTGCAAATATTGGTAAGCAATAATAAGAAAACTTACATATGTGTCAGGCATTTAAAATCTTTTTTAGTTTCTAGAAATTAGTTACTATTCACACCTACTAGTAATACTTCTTATTAAGTATTTGGCTATATTGATACTTTTCCATTGATGCAAAATAATTAGAAAAATACATAAAATTTAATTCAGTATATAAAATCATTCAAGACTATCTTACTAAAATATAATTTGGAGGGATTTTCCATATAGCAATATGCATCATATTGAAATGTAGGGTGTTCTTTTTTCCCTATTCTAGAATTTATTGACCTAAAAAATACAATATACAGCAGTGTGCTGGGTTTAAAAAAAAATAGAGAAATAACCTAACACTATAAAGACAGCCTGCAATTTTTTTGATATCATGGTATTATTTGGGACCAGAAAAGGAAGGATTTGAATTTGCACTTCATCAATTGTTAAATTATGATAAAATTACAAATTTATTGAAATGTGTATTTTATTAACTATTGCATTGCAGAATAAATGATGTGGGAAAATAACAGGAAATCAACATAGGATGGAGCCCTTCTTTTGTTTTGTATCATGTTCTCCTTTACCTACAAGTAGCTCATTGCATTATAAAATTACTTAGTAGTCTGCTATTTATAAAATACATTTTATGTAGTAACATTACTGGACGTGGGTCACATGCTAAGAGGAGAACAGGTACATGAAGAATAGGGAAAGGTACGAAACCCAAAACTTGAAAGTGTTTGATGTGTTGTAGAGGAGGTAATACAGTAACCTTAAAATGACAGAGGTCACTATGGGAAGGTGACCAGGAAGTAGTGAAGAGGTTAGGTAGAGATGAATCAATTCAGGTTGTAATACACTTGTACATGGAAGCCATGTTAGGAATCTCTCTGTATAGCTATCCTTACCTCAAACTAGAGAAAACAATATGTCTTTCTTCTTATTGCTTATGTCTTCTCTTCAACAAAATTGGAGAAGATGGCAGAATGCATTCTGCCTGGAAATGATGGAGGTGTGGGGGAGATGGGGGTGGGCGGGGGACAGGGAGGAGAAATGGCCCAAACAATGTATGCACATATGGATGAATAAATAAATAAAAATAAAATAAAATACATTGTAATCAGAACATTCATTTCTGGAAGATAGCTAAAATCCTGTTCTTGGAGCACTATTTTCTCAGACAAATTGGAAATTTAATTATTAGAAAGCAATTATTTTCAGGGATGGCAAAAGGAAACACAATTCTGAAGGATAATTTGAATATATGAATTAAGAAAATCCTAATTAAATACATATATCATGTAATTCTTGATAGCTAAATTCCAAATGTCATCAATATAAGTAAAGGATCTGATATTTTGAATGCCATAAAATATTAGCTTGAAAATATTGTTTTTCTTTTTTCTTATTCTTCCTGTTTTCCAACTGTACTCATAAATTATCTAGATCCTTTCTAGACAGTAAAAAAGGAGTTTCTGAGTGAAAGTGCACTTACTTCTCAGTTGCTATGGCCATACTGTACCCATACAAACTATGAACATCATAGTGTTTTCCCCACTTCTGCACTGCATCCATGCAAAGTGTTTTGGAATACATGAGTTTGTCAAGAATACCTAAGAAAAAATACATAAGAAATGTTTCTTAAGATATATTTATCCATCTTAATCTTTTTATCCCTTTTTATAGTATGCTATATAATCCCATACTTTATCAAACAATAATGACAGGATGTAAATAACTTAAATAATTTCCAATTAGTTTTCTATCCTATGATCATGTTGAGGGCAGAAAAAGTATTATTTTTATTCTTACATTAGTATGTACTAACTGATTCATACTTACTAATTTTAATAATAAATAAACCCATGAACAAATAGTCCAATGTTTGTCTACATTCCCATAGACTCATTTTAGAGTTAATTTTATGGTTGATTAATCTATTAAAATATAATATTAGCTAGGGAATATTTTGTATGAGAGAAAAGGAAACACTAATTTCAGGATTTAGAAATTATACCAAAGTTTGTGATTTACAAAATATTTGCTAGAATTTAAGATGAAACCTATTCTTAATTAAGGGTAATTAGGGAAAAGAGTTAAATTTACCAGGAATAAAAGGTGGATAATTCAATTTGTTGTCATTGCAGCCTTTCAGTGAACCTTGAATAAAACTGGAAACTTCATTCATGTCCTTAAAGTAAATAAAATGGAAACAAACAGATTTAAAATAATGATTAAATTATTCCTAGAATAATTTAAGCTATTCTAGAATTCCTGAAAGATTTTCAAGAAACCCCAGGTGAACTTGATCACATTCTGAGAGTCAGTAACTTAAACATCTTTTGGAGACAGAGTGGTGGAATATTATGTTCAAAGGTATTTCTAGCCATTTAAACATAGGTCTCAAATTTGTCATTTATTAATAATATAACCATAACCTGTTAAGTAAAGGCTAGAGCTAAAAGAGATTTTATATATGCATATATACATATATATAATATCACAGCACATATGCTAAAGGAATATGTTCTTTGTTAATTACATTAAAAGCCTTCTACAAATTTGTGAAGGTTATTTCTCACATCTGCATAATAAGTTTTCTCTGTTCTCAAAGAAAACACCAGTCTAAAACATCATTGGCTGTGTGAAGTCTATTTCCTTCAGAAGAAATATACTATTTAGTTTCTCTTCTCCTGTGCAAATCATGTCCATATTTTAATACCCAAACCAGTTTTCAACTTTATGAGTCATTCTCATCTTGTTCCATCTTTTATACATTCTATAGCTGCAACATCCCTAAATTAGCTTTGTGGTAGTTGGGTCCATCTCCTCTACTGCTTTCTGAATTGACTCAGACATTTAATTAGCATTTACCAACTGATTTGATATTGTTCTTAGAGATTGACAGAGTCCCTAAGAGAATAATAAAAATAATTTTTCCAAAAAAATGTAAGAATAAATCACTTAAATTATTGCCAAACTTTTTTCACAAAACTGTAACGGTACCAACTAAAACTACTTATTTACTTTGTTGAAATGCCTACTTGTTTTTTTTCTGACCTCATTACACTGATTACACATCTCTATTATTCTCAAACTACTCCTGAAGTATCAAGATTATGGGTATAAACAGAATTCAATGATACTCATCACATGAAATTAAATGAGGTGCTCAGATTAAAAATCAATTTCTCATTGAAAACTTAATTTCTTTTTTCCAAATGTGTTTTGAGTAGCTATGGATGAGGGAAAATAATGCTCATATTTTAAAGTGTAAAATTACTTGGAGCTACATTGGGGTTACTTCTTTGAAATTACCAAGAATATTATATTGTTTTATATTGTTTTGTTTGTCTATCTCAATAAAATTAATAAAGGGGTAGAATCCTTCTAAAGAAAATAAGTGTAAATGAACCTTATTTGTTTATCTTCAAGAACCCACAAGTTCAATTAATTTTTAAATTTTACTCTAAGTAAATACAGCCTCACATTTATTTAATGTTGTAATAAAATTTAATCTTTTATAAAATTTTCAGGAATTGTGGGCAGAATATGACCAAATAAGCTCTAGTTATTTGTATATACAAATGTATTATAATATATCTTCTCAGTGGATTTTTTCCAAATACTGAACAATAAGGTATTAGACTTCCTCATTGAAAAATTTTGTTTATTATATTTTTAAAAATGAAACCATAATAAAAACATCATCCAAAAATGTGCCTCCACATTTAAAATAATTGATGAACTCTGAATTTTAAAAATAATGGCTGACATTTTTATTTTGAAATCATGTCATTAGTCTCTTACTTCTCAAGTATTTCTCTCAAAAATGATGATGAAAAAGGAGAATTTAAGTGCATTGTTTCATATGCAGAAATCTATTTTCATTTACAATTAACCTTACTTAATTTGCAAGCACATTTTAATACTTATACTTAAAATCCAAAAACATTAACTATTTTAAAAAGTAAATTACAAATCTAGTAATTATAAAACTAATTTTAAACAACATAAAATAAAGCTTCTATTTTTCTTTTTTCTTTAGTTAGTCCTCTTCTTAAAATAAATAAAACCTCATGAATTAAATAATTTTTTTTCACAGAACAGTCATTTTAACAGAAAAAAATGATCCAAACATAGGGAAATAATGTTAGAAATAATTTTTCAATAGGGTTTGGAAATTCAACAAGCAAAAATAACCACTACTTTTATATTGTATGAATTGACATTGATATTTATTGAGCATTGAAAACATACTGATCTTATTGTGGATTTCGTCATTTTAAGGATAAGTAACTGTATTGTACTAGTACTTGAAAATTGCCTTTCTCAAATGCTTTTTATAACCCCCATACTCTCCTATTTTTGCACTGTGAGTTTCAGTCTTCAGTGATGTAGGAAATGGAGTATTCTCCCTTTGTATTGCACAATCAGGGTGTCTCTCACCATTAGTCAAGCAACACTACTATTTATAACTCTGCTCTACTGAACCAAAGTGTTTCCTAATGAGAACAACAGCAACAAAAATAACTACAGAAAAAAATTAATAATTTGAAAGCTAGAATGAAAAAAAAACATAGTCACAATACAGTTTTATTATTTCTTTCAGTAGCTAAGTATTAACAGTATGATCTTGCAGATTCTATATTATAAAAAACTAAACATAGTCCATCTTCATTCTGTTGATATCATAGAAATCCTGAAGATAATGCTACCTTTTTACTCAATTCTGTTTCATTTTCACAAAGCATACTCTTCCCAATTTATATTACAACACACCTAATATATAAATGGTACAAAATAAATATTTGTCGAAATAAATTATTCATTGATTAAATAAACTAATGATTAAAATAATGACTAAATGAATAACAAGCATATCAAAAAAGAAAATTAGTATAGACCTAAACAACCAAAGAAAATATAGCTAGGATATATAGGATTCTATGCAGTTGTTGTACTTTTCAAAAAAAGATTCTTCCTTTTCTCTTTGCATTCAGGCTTATTGATGTTTTTGTAAACTTAATCAGATTTCAGGGTCATCAGGTAGCTCCTTTCTTCAGGTACAGTTATAGTGACCATAATCAAAGTCACTAAATACAAATTGTCAATTATCAGCCGGTATGACTTTGCATCATAAGCCTATGTACATGTATGAAACTTCATCCAAAGAAACTTCAAAAGATTGTGTTTTCCTTTAGCAATTTTACAAGTAATCTAGGATATGGTTTGTTACTGGTTTTTGAGATAAAACACAACCTATTGCTAATTTTTATTTGTTCAATTCCACAGCTTACTCAAACGAAAGTTTCTACGGTGTGGGACTTATTCACTTTAACATTACTATAATTGCTTGATTATTGCAGACTTCCATAAATGTTTTTGGAATTGTACTCCTATAGGTTTATCTCTAAATCTCATTTTCTCTTTTTCAGATAAACTACTAATCATAAAAATATAACACTTTAGTTACAAAGATGAAATCTATTCCATAAATTGCATTATTAGAGAAGAAAAACACAATTTAATTTTAGTCATTTTTTGTCCTTCCCATCTTGTGAATATGACAGGTTTCATATTCATACATTACATAAAAACAATGTAAGAGATTTAAATTTAGGTTGAATAAATTAGAAAAACATACATCATTAACTTTTATGGATAAATCATTTGCATTCCTTGTCTTAAATAACTGGCTTAAGACAGCTACTTACAATCCAAATTCCATCATACTCCACTTCTTTATGGAAAGTATAGCATTCTTCTGCCCACCAATCTATGCAGTCTGGATTAGTGAAATCTGGGTACACTGTTAATCCTGGCCACACCTACATGAATAGATCATTTACATATATGCATAAATAAAATAAAATAAATAGAATTTCAAACTAATGTAGTTCAAAAGAATATTAAAAAATGTTAACGTTATAATATTGTACTACTGTAGGTATGTGTGACTCATACACAATCTACATTGAAAATAATCTCTTCATATGTTAAGATCCATTCAAGAGAGAACATTTAAAGAGAAAGAGAAGAAAAGCATAAAGTATCTTAGAAAGAAAAGATATAAAACATTGGATGAAGTTGATATTTTGACTGCACCTAAATTTATTTCTGAATATTCTTGTAGGTTAGGTTAATAAATAAAAATAACTATATATTAGTTCATCAGCAAAGGCATTTTCTTCCAAATAGTCCAAGGAAAAACTCTTATTTATTTCTTATCAATGAACATAGGTATGACACTTAATAAGTGCTAGGTACTGGTCTAAGCATTTTTGTAATTATTAACAAATAATCTTTATTAGAAATTTAGGAGGAAGATATGATTTGTATCATTATTTTACATATGGTTTTGGTACTATATGTAAATGTGCCTTACAGATAAATAAAATGATACAGCGTGAGAAATTAAACAAATTATCTAAAGTACCCTTATTAATAGATGGTGCAGGAAGAATTCAAACCCAAACAATTTTGTACCTCAGTCCATGCTACTAAATACAGAACAATATGCTGCCCTTTTATCAATTATGCTTCTTTAAATTATTTTACTTTACTTATTATGTTAAGTCATAACATTACACAATAAGAATTCAATTTTGAATATACTAGGATAAATTATACTGTTTTATATTGAAATAATCTAGAGAAGTTATCTGATCTGTTTATGTCCAACAGAAAAGATGTTAATAAAATATATTCTGTGAAATACTAATAGATTTTTTTAAAGTTTTTTATTATTCATTTATTCACATGTGTATACATTGTTTAGGTCATTTCTAGGATTCTGAGTAAGAAAATGTAAGGGTCTAATGAAGCTTGCAATAATTAAAAAAAGTTTGTCATCAGAAATTTTCAGTTTAAGGGATGTAGTCAGTAGAAATAGAATATTCTTCATTGATGTTAATGATATAACAAACAAGTATTTTGGACAGATATTTTATTTCCTCATTTTATTTATTTTTGTTAAATCACAGAAGTAGAATAACCAATTCAATTTGCCTAGACATTATTGTGGTTTTTGACACGTCTTATAAATTTGCTGCCAATAGAATATTTTTTCTAGATAAAAATACATTGAAGATCTGTTCAGTTTCTCTACTTTTTTCCTCATTGGTCCCATGATCTTAGGAAACCTATTTCACTGCTCTATATTTCAGTTTCTCACCTCTAAGGAATTTTAATAATATCTTGTTGCTTTATTGTGAGGACCAAATGCAAATCTGAAAACTCAGTGCCCAACAAAATGGCACTCAAATTATATTACTAATTATTCTATATCAAATTTCTGCATATAGTTCTCAAAGTTTTGGTAAGAATATGAGTTATACATTCTAATTCATTAGCTCTAGCTAGGTTTATAGTCATGTAAATTATTTGCTCTCTATTTACTTTTTGTGTAACTGAATTGTTTTAACCATTCTAACTTTCTCTCCACAATCATGATACCAAGTCAAAAGATGAAAACAAATATATTCACAGATATTTTCAGAAGTTTTGCTGTTGCAGAACAGAAAATATGAGCCACATAAGCTGATGGTCATCATTTACCTCTCCAATAAGTGCTGTAGTTCCATCGGATTCATTTACCCAAACATGTTTTTCATTTCCCCTCTCATAGGTTTCATATGGGTCTCCATTGGAACGGTTAGTTATAGAAATTGCAGGGTCCTAACAACAACAAAGAAACTGTGTAACCTCTATTAATTAAAAAATTTTGAGTACAAAAAGTATTTTAATATTAAATTTATCATTACCAAGATGATAACATATTTCTGGTTATGTTCATGCAAATCTTTAACAAACTCAGGAAGCCCATTAAATGTATTGTGATCATAAGTAAAGTCCTTCTTGTCTTCCATGTAGTCAATGTCAGTGATTTGTACATCCTGAAAATTAGCGTAATATGTTTCCTTAAATAGTTGAAAAAGACATTCTAGTGGTATTCTAATTATTTTTTTTTCTTTTCCAAGGGCTGGGGTTTGAACTCAGGACCTCAAGAATGCTAGCTAGGCAAACACTCTACCTCTGATCCTTGTCTTTCTAATTCTTAAGTATAAAAGCATTAAATGACAATTTGCATTTTTTTCAGTGATGACTAAATACTTTATATGTAAGTGTTTGTGAGTATATATGTACATACTTATATACATAAATTTCATTGCATCAAAAAAAATCTACATAATTCAGGAAACTATTTTTAAAATACTAGGCTTTTTTTTTAATGTAAATATAATTTTATTCACAGTTAAACATGTATTCTAGTATAATTTATAATATTTGTTCAAAAGTATATATTATAACTTTCAGTTAAGTGGTTGAACATTGTATATGGTGACAAAATATACTTTACCATGAAAAAAGCAGCTGTCTGCTAAAGAATGTACTGACAATTCATTACACTTATTATGCAACAATGTTTAGTGAAATATCCTTGGTAACTCTCTATTTGATTATCAATATTTAAGGAGGCATATATATTCCCACAAAATCTCCTTCCTACTTACATACGGTATGCCAGCTTCTCGGTTTCTTTGTACTACCTCTTTCACTACATCCAGTGATTGGTAATTCCAGCGACTCAGCTGGAATCCTAAAGCCCAATATGGTGGCATTGCTGGTAATCCAACGAGCTTGAGGCAAATGATATTTAATTAGTTTTAATAAAGATAAATACATTTATCATTAGTAACTAATATGAATGTGCTTTTAATTCTGCTTCTCAAGTACTCTACTACAAATTATAAATAAAGGTTTAGTATTAATTACATCCTAAAATTTTTCTTGCATTTACTATTACAATTTTTGGGAGACCCTCAATAAAGTTCATATTCTGAAACTCATCTTCTGTTTATTTTGTGTTAAAATAAATCAGAAAATGCACCACTTGAGAAAGTAGCATTTGCCAAGACATAGATAAATATATGTATGTATATATACATCACAGAATTAAAAGAAGAGAATAAAAGATAATCGGGAAGTTGTTCTCCTACACACCACTCTTATTTTTATCAAAGTAACCTCTGTCCCACAGTTTCATTGTTTATTCTCAGGGTTGAAATTTAGATACTACCTTTTGCTTAATTCCAGTAAAGTAGGTCATGAACAAGTAAAGACTTACTATGCAATATATCAAAGAAATATTACTTCTGAGCGTAGTTGTCTAAAATTTTAAAAAATTTTGAAATAAATAATACAGACACATAAAAACATGTAGGTTTCATTTTACAGGGGAAAAATAAAAACTACCTATTCATATCTTTAAAATGGTAAAATGTAAAATATATATACTTAAGCAGTCCCAAATATGAAAAAAAAAGTTATTTAAGTATGTGGACTTGTTACAAGAAAAAAAATATAGCAGATAATCATTGTTTAGAACATCCCTGAACACACACACCTCTTGGTACTGCTGAACTACTTGTTCTGGGGTGTCTCCCAGAAATATATAGAAGTCCAGAATGCCGCCAATAACTCTGTAAGTTACTATTGGGGTAGGCTGGATGAGAATCTCTATAAAACAAAATTTGGAAAATTATGTGTGAAGAGAACATACATAGTAATAAAACAACCATAGTGAAAAATTAAAGTACTTTGAATTAACTACATTATTTCATACTATTTTGAAAAAAATTAGTAAGAAATAACATATTGACACTAGGAATAACATTTTTAAAAAATGGAGTGCCCCATGTATGAGGTTTAAGACTGGGTAGTATAAAATTTTCTTTTACAGAATTGGCCAAACTCTTCTGGAAATTTTTTAGCAAGGAGTAAAGGATTCAGCTTCTTCAAAGAAATATATTTCTTTCCACAATGGTATCAATTAGTCATTTCAATTCAAAGTTTTCCAAAATGTATTAACTTCTAAGGAAAAAATAAGGTTTTTAATTTAACAATTTTTATATAATTGGATAATTGCGTAACATACTGCTCCTTCTGGAACATTACTGTTTATAAACTTTTACTACCAATGATTCACCCACGAATTATAAATTTCATTCACAACCAAAAGCAAAGATTTTACGTTGTCTGAATTATAGTGCACTAAAAATTGTTCCTTCAATTTCTGTCCTGACAAAGACCATTCTTGTTGTTAGTGGCAGTGGCATATTAACTTATCTGGCTTAGTGAGTCTGTGGAATGAGAGCATTCTTTGATTTTTACTTTTGCTCTGAAGGGAAAGGAAAGAGCCTTATGTCACAACAAAGCTACCTCTTTCTAAGATAGAAACATGGATATGAAAAATAATTATCTTACTACTTTCAAGACCTATTTATAAGAATTTCACATGGCAAATATCATTTGCAAAGGAGTTTACTCTGACATTTGTTCTCTATGATTGGCATAAAGACAGTAGTAAAACATTTCATTTAAATATACTAAATAAATGACTTTTACCCATTGCATTGCTGTTCATTAAAAATACACCAAAGGATTTTCCAGTAATATCTTCAATGCACATGAAAAATGTCTGATGGCCATACAAATTATGATTATTCTACAAAGCAAACATTTGAAAATTAAAATCACAAGTAAATTTAGAGGTTAAATATGTATAAATGGCCTTTATAAATACTTTTTTCCATACCAAACATTGCAGCATAAAACATATAATTATTTTATATTAACATATAAGGCATATAACAATATATGTAATATGTTGGTAGCTTATTTACTTTTATTCATCTTTTATTATAACTTGATAAGCTTAATAATCTATTTGCAATGATTAATGGTGTTTTTATCCATTACACCTCATTCCTGACCTGAATGATTGTATATGGATAGTTAAAATAAAGAAGGTAGACTGGGCATAGTAGCTCATACTTGTAATCCCAGCTATATGAGAGGTAGAGATAGGAAGGATGCAGTTTGAGAATAGCCTGAGCAAAAAGTTAGAAAGACCCTATCTTAAAAGCTGGATGTGATGGTTCTTGTCTTTAATTTCAGTTATTTTGGAGGTAGAGGTTGGAGAATACCAGTCCGAGGACAGCCCCAGGCAAAAGCATGAGACCTTATCTGAAAAATATTAGCAAAAAGAGCTGGGAACATGGCTAAAGTGGCAAAAAGCTTTAAGTGTGAGATTCTGAGTTCAATCCCAAGACCTTAAAAAAAATAAATGAAGGAAGGAAGGAGGAAGAGAGGGAGGGAGGGAGAGAGATAGGTATGAGGGTCTCGGTCTGGTGTTTATTACAGATAACAATGATATAGACAATAGAATTTATTGTGCCAAGGGGTTCTTAAAATAACACTCACTTATTCATTTGTGGAATTAAATAGTTAACATTGACATTTAAAGCTCATTAACACAAATAAAAACAAATGGTGCACTCTTTGTTCTCAAGAATCTCACAACCCAGGAGAAAGAAATACAGTGTACAGACTTAATACATTGTGATTGTTGTCTACACTACCATGTAAGTAAATGAAGAGTTGGAAAACAAAGACTATTCATAGAAGAGCTTGGGAAAAGTTCTTATGTGGTTAAACTTCAGATGAAGCCTCAATGACATACTGTATGATGAAAAAACTCAAAGTTCAGTCCTGAGAAAGAAAACCAACCGCCTTGCAATGACTGGAAGTGACAGAATATTACCACATGTTGTGGATCAGGGAAAATGGGCAAAGAAGCAAGAGATGGCATTTGAAAAACAGGAAGATGCCACAGGAACATGTGAAACTTGGTGCTTGGTATTACTCTAGTTTAACATTAGTAACAGGTGTAACACTAAGCTAGAATAATTTCAAACACCATGTTTTATGTGTGCAAAATACAAAGGTGATTGAAAAGGAATGATGAGATATAAAAATGAAAGTCAAAAGAAAACTTTCGGGAACTAGAAATGCCTTGTTCAAACATTCACAAAATCTGTTAGCCACTGAGTTAATGTATGAGTTGACTGTATATCGTCACTAAAATAAATAGACTTCTGGATTAGGTATCACTGATACCCAAGTAATTTAACTAGTAATGGCAAAGAAAATATGGTTCAAATAGGCCACAAATATTATCTGCTCGATGTACTCATTTTATTCATAACAAGAAAGATAATTTCTTACATCACCAGGAGCTTCATCTCGAGTAAAGATTGGCCATGTTTTCCAGTATAAATCATGACGAAATCTCTTATGATTATGCTCCCCAAGACCATACATATATTCACTTGGAAGTTTGGTTGAAATCTGTAAGTACTGATTTGAGTATACAAGGGGACCAATGCTGGTATCAAATCTGAATCATGAGAGAAAGAAAGAAAGAAATGACATAGAAACACATAAAGTGTTCTACAAAAATACGGCTTTAGGTTAACCACATCTGGAATATTTGATTTTAAAGACCTTAGTCTTTAGCTGTGTTCACTTTCAGGAGCACATAAATTACTGCATAACTAGAGCTTGTTTGTCACATTAACACAATTTCCCCCATCTCCCATGTGATTTTCCATATGCATTTTCTCCTTTGATATTCACCACAACCAACGAGCATAATGACCATCATCAATCCTATTGCATAGATGACACAAAATGGGAAAAAAATTCATATTTTCAAATATTACAAAAGGTAGACAGGTGAGTCAGGTTTTGAACCCAGTCCTGCCTTGCTCCAGGAACTAAGATTTATAATACTTATTTTATTATTATTATATATTCTTTTCACATATCTAGCATTTATGCCAAAATAAATTTCAAAATCATTTTTCCTAAAAAGGAAAACTGGTCACAAATGTTATGCAGGCCAAAACATGTAGTATATGAAATGTTAGCTGGCATTGGATAGTTTTAATTTTCATTAGCAAACTGTAATGTTATATGCACTTATAAAGTATAATGTGAGCGTTTAATATACACTTCAAAATAATTAAATCAAGCTATTTTAACATAACCATCACTACACATATTTATTATTTCTGTGGTGTGACCATTTAGTCTATTCTTGTAATATTGAAATATGCATTAAATTATTAACTAAAGTCATGATGCCATAGATATTGAAAACTTATTCTTCCTAATACTTTCACCAAAATCTTCCCCTAATTCCTGATAACCAACTTTCTACTCTATGATTTTATGATTTCAGCTTTTATAGATTCCGCATCTAACTGAAATTGTGTATCATATGTCTGTCTGCCTTCTTTCACTTAGAATTTATGATTGAGAGCAAAGCCAATTGCAAAAAATATTAAAATCTATTTCATGAAAGCAATTTTTGAGAGTCTGGTTTCACCATTGGTTAATTAACATTTTGGGCAAATGAAAGAGCAATCATCCTGAAGTTTTTCTTACAGGATGTTTCTAAATCCCTAGTCTCTATTACACCTGCCCCCAGCCAATGAATTCTACATGCGAGTTCTACCTATACTTCATTTAATATATACAAAGAAAATTCTTTTAAGTTTACCATGGTAATTATTACCTCACTAATAGTAACCACTTGAGCTGGCAAACTTTCAAAAGAATACAATACATAATGAGGACAAGACACAAAAGACTTCCACAAATGTAAAAATGTAGACAAAACTTCAAATGTAACAGTTATTTTCTCCACCCTCACCTTTGATTGTCACCCGTGAACATTTCCTCATTCGTGTTTAGTACTTTTCCTCCACAGAAAACAAAACTCTTATCATCAGAATCTTTACAAAGTTTTACACACACTCTCACTGGGGAGGAAATTTATTCTTTCTGACAGCGTTTTAACATTAAGACATCTCTATTCCATAGTAATCTAATAAAATGGGTTAGTTATCCAAGTGATTATTGATGTGAAATTCTTACTTACAAAACCTTGTTATTGCTTTTTCTGGTAACTTTGATGCTGAATGGCTTTTCTGCAACCTCCACATCATACAATGTTTCAGAGAGTGTGTGTCCAGTAAATTCTTTTACAAACTGATGAGGAACTTCATATCTTTCATTATTTGGATCTGTAATCTGCAAAGATTGAAATAAATGAAAACAAATTAATTCAAAATTTTCCAAATGTGAATTACTAAATGCTTTCTCCAAACATAAAACATTTATAAAGGAGCATAGTCTTTATAAACATGATCACAAGCTAAATTTTAACATTTTAGAATGGCTATGCACAGATAAAGTATATAAATTGTTATGAAAAGGTATAATAATTAGCTTTAAAATTCTGCATATAAAATCAGGTAAAGATTTACACTGATGGCTATAAATATCTGTGAGAGTATTATCAAATACTGATTTTTAATACTAGACTTAGGAATTTCATTATCTAGGACCTGTTTACCATTCACCTGCTTAGATAATCTCTAAGGATAGGAAAATTTGTTTAAAAATATCTCAGGTCTGTGGGTATAGCATAGTAGTAGAACATTTGTCTAGCATGGACAATAACTGCCCTGGGTTCAACTCACAGCACACAAATATTAGCTAACTAAATATAAATATCACTTAATTCATGTGAATTTGTTGCTAAAAAGGTAACTGTACAAAGCATATAGCAATGTATTCATCTCGAATTTAAAAAATGCTACTAAGCTGCTTATTTAAAATAGCAGAATTATTTTCTTTAAAATTAAGCATATATATGAGTGTCAACTAGTAAAAAGAAATGGTGAATATAAATTTCATTCATATAACACTTCACATATTTCTCAAATTAAAATTTAAACTAACACAGTTGAAGTAATTTCAAAAAATTACTGACATTTATTGAGCATTTATTCTCCCCAAGAAATTTTACATAGATTATAGTACTCAAATAAGTGCAGGAGATGGTATTATTATTAAGTTATATTTTAGCAAGCAGACTCAGAGAAGTGAAGTAACTGATATAATTTATCCTTTCCTTTCGAATAAATTTTTCTTGAGAGGAAAAATGTATTGATAAGTTAAAGAGTGTTTTACTTAATATGTTCTACATGTTTTATTATCAAATTTTCTTAGAAACATCAAAAACCAAACCTTAAACCGTAAACGGCTGGGAGTCTGATTTTCAGTTGTGAGGAGTACACTGTTAATATCATCCCCAAATAGTGTAGGAGAAGGTATTCTGTTTAAATTGCCTTCAAGTCCTTAAAAAAGGAATCAAAATAAGTATGAGTGAATTCATTGTTCATTGTTAAAATTTAACAATTATTAAATATTATACAGATATTTACAGTTGTTTGCACTTATCACACATAATGTGTGTTTTTGTAATTTTCAAGATGTAATCATGCAAATAAATAAATCTTCAGTACAGCTAATTTGCACTTTTGGTGTACATATTTATTATTTGATTCTATTCAAGATGTTTTTCTAAAGGAAAATTTAAAATTCATTTTCCATTATAACACATTATATTAAATTATGTATTATTAAATTATAATGACAGGGCAGTCCTCACCAGTACTTTTTCTTTCAATTTTCTCAACATTATAACCATGGTTATCTACAAAGAAGCACCAAGGAACAACAGAGTTATTCCATGGCCTCCAGCAGCAGCCTCGTTGCTCACAAACTACCTGAAAAAAATTTTTAATGAATAATATGAATATTTCTGTTATCAGATATGCTAGGCTTTATTTGTCCAATGAATGAAAGCTTGTAAAAAGTTTAATACCTAATATGCCCTAACACCATTTGTTCTTCTATTCCTTTCAACTTGGAAGGAATATAAATATTGAAAAAACTGAATTATTTCCAACAGTTCCAGTTCCAGTATATATGTTCTGTGTTGTGACTTATCAAATTCATGCATCCACATACATCATTGTAAAGTCATGTATTTTAAATGTTCCTTGCTTAGCACTAGTGGCTCACACCTGCAATCCTAGCTACTTGGCAGACTGAGATCAGGCAAATCATAGTTCAAGGCCAGTCCAGTCAAAAAGAGACTTCATCTCAATGGTACAAAAAATTAAGGTGTTGGCACATGCTTCTCATACCAGCAACAGTGGGAAGAATAAAATAGAATGATCTAGGTCCAGGCTGACCTGAGCAAAAGTGACATCTCCTAAATGAAGAGCTAGGGGTGTGGCTCAAGTTATAGGGAACTTGCAAAGCAAGCATGAAATCCTGAGTACAAACACCATTACTACCACAAAAATAAGATTCCTGCCCTCTGCAAAATTATAATTTACTCTTGGCATAGTATTGATAAAGAATTGAATACTTATTCTGTAAAAATTGTTTCAAGTTGCATACAGACATAAACTCAATCACCTAGAAAGATTTTAACAGAGTTATTTTCAGGTATTTATTACTTCGACATTTAACTATTTGAAGTATTTTAACTACTTTATATGCCAATGATCACAATCACTTACTGCAATCCAATGAGTAAAAGAATTTTAAAAGAGCAACTGTATAATATGAGTGAAGCCCTGAGTTCAAACCCCAGTAAGATGACAAAAAAAAAGCTCTTAAGAGTTTTAAGAAGCTTGTTATCTATATGAAAAGAGTTTGTGATTTTGTATTATGTAGTCTCCTTTATAGAAACCCACCAAACACTGTTTGAAGAATAGAAGAAGTGAGAGGAGGAATGGTAGGTAATATAATAAAGAGAGTGAACTTATTCAAAGTGCACTGCACACATATATGGAATTATCACAAAGTAGCTCCCATTGTGTTATTAATGCATGCTCACTCAAAAATAAAAATTTTTAAAAAATATTATGTGAAGTGGAAAAATCTGTAAGGTCCTGTTTAAAAAAATTTGAGCAACCTGGTAATGCTATGCATTAACAAAGCTATTGGTGAAAGTTTACCTAATAATAAAATTAAATATTGTCACACATTTCATAATTTGCATACCTATTGAGATATTTTTCTGGGCTGCTTGTCTCAAAAATAAATAAAAGTCTCTATGCTTAATTGAGTAAAAGAATAGATCAATCTCTTTCATATTTTCACATCAAATGAAATTGCTTCAGATCCACACAAAGATATACAGATACATGCATATATGCATACGTGTAAATTACAAACAATAGTACCAATGGATCCTACCATTGTGGAGGACTGATATCTACCAGGAAGTCAAGAAAGTGTGATTTTTTTTAACTGGGCAATTTTACCTAGAATTACCTAACGTGTGGAAAGTGTCCCTGCCATACAAAGAAATTATTCTAAAAAAATTATCACTCATAGCAGTATTTCTAAGATATATATTTTTAAATATTAGCAGAAAACAAAATACAGATAACAATGATTTGGAAAGGTAAAGTTATGATTGTTTTAAAATACAAGAGAAAAAAACCAAGCACATTATAATGATATTTTGACAAAAAATATTAAAATAGACATTAAGTTTCTCGAAATATACTACCTTAGTTTCCTAGGGTAGACATAATAATCATGAAGAAATGGCTTAAAGCAACAGAAATTAATTCTCTCACAGTTCTTCAAGCAAAAGCCCTAATTCAAGGGGCAAAAGAAGCATGATGCTTCTGAAAGGGAAAATTCCTCCCTTGTTTTATTCCTGGCTTCTTGTGGCTTCCAGCAGTTTGCATCCTTGTCTTCTAGTTGCATAGTTCCCACCTCAGCTTCCACTTGACGTGAGTTTCTCATTTTTCACTGAGAAATCTCCTCATCTTACAAAGACACTGGTCATTAGATTTAGGATACACTTTAATCCCATATGACTTAGTCTTAAATAATTACATATGCATTACATTTCCAAATAAAGTCACATTCTGGAGTCCCAGGGGGCCATGAATTATGGGAGGGCATCACTCAACTCACACCAAAGTATTAGTTTAAAAACCCATATCCCATTCATATTGTTAAGTAAACATCCCATATTTGCAATTTCAAATAATATATCTACATATATGTGATATATCATTGCCTTAGGTGATTATTTCAGATGATAGAAAGTTTATATGTGAATTATTTTAAGGGATTTTCAAACATCTTCATGAGAAAATATTGAAAGTATACAAGTATGCATTTCAAAATAAAAATGTTATTAATTTTAGTTTAATTTGTGAATATTTTATTGTTTTTCTTGTATGTTTGATTGTTCTTATTTTTCTGGATTTTAAATATTTTCCACTGTATTTTTAATTGTCATCTAACTACAAGTTTCTTAGACTTCATTTTAAGAAGCACAAAATTAAAGTACAATATACATGCATTAATATTTTCATTAAACTTTATTATGTAAAAATTCAATGAATTTATCATATTCTTATTTTCTTATATTTGTATATGAGTATGTACATAGACTAGAATCATAAGTCTATACATTGATTTATAGATAACAATACACAGTAGATTGGTTCATTGTTATAAACTAAATTGTGTTCCTCTCAAACTCATCTGTTGAATCTCTGACCCACAGTATGTGTATTTTTGGAGATAAAGTATTAAGAAGGCAATTAAGGTTACAGGACGTCATAAGTGTGTGTCCCTAATCCAGTAGAAATGGTGACTTTATAAGTCAGCCTGGGCTGACTAATGCACTCTGCATGGAATGATGCCTGTGTTTAAAATTAGTATCTTGAATATTCTGCATTTTCTCATTGCAAAATAAGTATGTGTGACTTCTAATTAAAAATGAATTATAGGAATTCAGAACAAAGTGGTGAAGTAGAAGCTTTCTCTGTTTGACACAGTAAATTAGAAAAATCAGATAACAAAAGAGATATAGTATACTGAAATGATGAAGAGAGGAAGAACATTGGGTACCAAAAAAGAAGAAATGGACATCTGAAAATCACAGAGAAACAGAAATGTGACAGAGTAGAGGGATTTTAGCTTTAGTTCTGACTCCCTGGGGAAGGGGGAAAAGCCAAATCCTCCACCATAAGGTAAGCTGAAAAGTCTTGGAGACAGATAGGCAGACCTACCCGGGGGACAATGCCATACATCCCCCAATCCCCAAATGCAGTGCAGGGCTTTGGTGTGATGGTGATATTTCCTGTGTGAAAGTCTGGTATTGGAGAAAAAAAAGACAATTTTTGCTCCCCACAACTTGAAAAACTAGAGCAAGACATCATCTTGAAAAATGGCTTACTGTTCAAAATAGAGATATCCTAGGGTATTGAAAGCATGGGAAAATCATTTCCCAGAGTGTCTTGGAAACCCTGCCACAATGTCTAAAGAATTGAATGACCATAAGATGTGGATAGAGAGAAGGAGAGGGTCTTACCTGTGCCCACTGACAAGTTTAAGCAGTGGGAAGTTAGGCAAGTCAAGGGTGCAGAAGTCAGTAGACACATTCTCCCTGGTGGAGAACAAGTCCCAACTTCTGAGGATCACTACAGAAAGAGAGCACCAATCCCACTGCTGGCAAAGTGTTCAGCCTCTGGTAGTGGTCTGCTAGCTTCAGTGTGGATGTTTGCTTATAGGCCAGACTGTCAGCTCAAAGCACAGGTACTGTGAATAATAAAATTTCCCAACATTCTTCACTCCCATAGGGGTATGAATTGCTGAATGAGGTATGAAAGCATTGCGACTGGCAGCTAAGCATATGAATTCAGCCTCTGGGAGTGGTCTGCTAGCTTCAGTGTGGATGTTTGCTTATAGGCCAGACTGTCAGCTCAAAGCACAGGTACTGTGAATAATAAAATTTCCCAACATTCTTCACTCCCATAGGGTATGAACTGCTGAATGAGGTATGAAAGCATTGCGACTGGCAGCTAAGCATATGAATCCCTCAGTTCTGCACCACCAGTGCAGAATCAGGACTCTTTTTACTTCTCCCACTAACTGACACATACAGGGATAGCCTTCTGCTTTTGTACTTGCTGTCATTAGGGCTACATATGGGAACCTGAGGAGCAAATGGGAACCTGCCAGGCCTACTGTCAGCAAATCTCCTTGTGGCTCTCAGTGGACTCCAGTATACAAAAAAGGGAAGTATACAAAAAAGGGAAGCATCCAAAGTGAGAGGAGCACAGGCATGGACAGCTGAATCTTGACCAGTCTCTCTCTCTCAAAGTACATATAATGCCAACTTGCACACAAAGAACTACAGGAGACACTAGCTAGTTCCCTTCCCTCTATTTTGAGGGTACAGGAAATCAGGTTCAGTGCCCTGAAAGCATGGCCAAATGTTTGGCTAGTGAGCTATTCCTCAACTCCAGTGGTGAGAAACTACAACTCAACACTGCCACTACACTAGCCTTGACTGAACTTGGAAAATACTCAAAATGAGAGAGTACAGGTTATTAAAACTTACATTAAAAACTTGGTATCAGATGCACAAATCCCAATGCATAAACACAAAAACTATAACAAATGCAAGAAATATTAGAAAAATTCATCTAAAATTCAACAATTCTGCAAGAATAGACACCAATGAGAGTGAAATAGATGAAATCCTACACAAAGAATTCAAAGAATGATTAAAGAAATTAAAGAGGATGGATATAAGTACCTGAATTAATTCTAGGAAAACATATATAAACAGCCAAATAAATTCAAACAAAATGCAAAAAAAAGAGTATAGTGAAATAAGGAAGAAAATATAGTATATGAAAGAGGAATTCAATGAAGATAAAGAGTTCCTAAAAAA